AAAAATATTATTCAAACATTTCACTTAACCAAACTAAATTAAACTAAATTAAACTAAATTAAAATAATTTAAAATAAATTACTAAATTCATATTTGGTATTAAATCATAAATTTTATTTCATTTCTATACCTAAAATATGTATTTCAGAAAAAGTGGTCGTGCTATACTGCGTTACCAATGTTGTTGTGAATTAGAAGAGGTTTACTATCCCCATTCGGTAGGCGCTAAAAACAATCATAATTACATACCATAAAAGTTAAAATTTAAGTTTTTTTAAAAACAAAAGCAAAAACAAAAGCAAAAGTCAAAAATAAAAAATAAAAAATAAAAATAAGAACACTTTCAAACATCCTTGAAAGGCGAAGCTGCTGTAGTTAACGCTTTTTCAACCAATACCAAAAGGAATACTCGTCTAAAACCGGGCGCCTTGAAAATACACTGTAAAAAATTTACAAAATTTATGAAATTTAATGTAAAATTTTTGCAGCATTTTTTTTTAAATTAGATATACATACATTTTGTTTTATATATGAAAAGTAAAAAAGTAAAAAAGAAACAGAGACTTTTTACTGAAGCGCTGAATTATTGTATACTTTGTTCTTTTCAAATTTATTTCCACCACTTTGTGGCTTCTTTATATCTTCAACTATACTTGAGACTTCGATGACCTTTGAAACTAAGTATATGTATTTTCTGTGAAGAGTTCATTTACATATTTTTATAATTTTTTATTATTTTTAAAGCAGATGAATTGCGATTTTTTCCATTGTACCATTGTAAAAATTTTTTATTGATGTTGTGCTCTCTTTCAAACAGCAATTGCCTTGCGGTATATTAGTCTTGCGGTATTAACGTCAATGTAGTACTTTTTGATATCACTGGGTTCTCAATATACGATTGCCAAATATCCAGCGGCTAAGAAGTTCAAGCGAATACTCGTACTCAATCGGTACTCATCAGTTCTAGAATATGAAACTGAACTGAATTAGCATTAGTATTTTTTGCGAACTGTCTGATCCACCGCAGACTTTCAGTAAAGAATCTTTTAACAATATACCATAAGTATCTTGAACTTCTTAGCACTGACATAAGACGTAATCTTTTTGGCAGTTTCAAAATTTTGTTTGTTACATTGTTGGCTAAAATTATTAATATAATATATTTTACTATTTATATATAAAAAATGCATTAAAAGTTAAAATATTCATATATATATATATATATATATACAAAATATATATGTTAAGTGTATTTTTCTTTGAATATTTTATTTCTGTATAATTCTGTATAATTCAAAAAAAAAAAAAGCGAAACGTATTCCTACACAATATTTATAGTTGTTGCAATCATTTGTAAATAGATGTTCTATGTAAGAAATTATTTTGTTTTATGGTTTTTGCTGCAACTTTCGATTTTTGAAAAGGCGGGTCTTCTTCTTCTTCTTCTTCTGTTTTTTGTTGACTTTTCAATGCACTTTCAAGACACCGCTTAGCTTTTTTACTGAAGCACAAACAGAAAATATATCCAATCACGCATGCGAAAGATACTTTTCGTGTGTTTCACTATTGTTTTAATTTCCTCTTTTGTTTTTGATTTCCTTCATTTTTGTGTTCCTTTGTCCTTTATCTTTCTTTGCTTCTCAATATATATAATACTGTATATTACTATATATATTACTATACTATATAATATATATATTATTATAATATATATCAATACATACTACCTTAATCTCCTAAAAGATGTTATATTTTATGGCGAATTTGTAGCCACAGTGGTTTCGATTCAAGCTTTAAGATATTTTCAGCATAAAATGTGTTATTTTTAAAACTCTAACTCTATATCTATAAGATTTCAAAATGCGATTTAAGAATTGCATCACAGAATATATAATATATGGTGGGACGTTGGAACAGCGCACTGTCCAACAAGTGGCCCCACTGATGTGAAGGATTGGTCGAAGTAGACCACGAAACGACTTAAGTTCTTTTTTGTCCTTCGATTTTCGGATATCGTTATTGAGTTAAAGCAAAATATATCATATGTATGTAAAATGGAATATGGTCTTAGCCTCACAATCGATCGGAGCAGTTGTGATTATTGCATCTCTTTTTTGCTAAGATTAATAAAATATTTATTTAAGAACAGTATTTTTACTTAATAACTATATTTGCTTATAGATTTTTAACGATTTATACCCTTGAATATATTAAAATCACATGATTTAAACTTTTATTTAAAAATTAAAAGTTTATTATTCAGAGAGGTTTCGAAAAGTAGTGAACTACAACAACAAAAATTTTTTTTATTTTATTTTAATTAATTGAATTTATGGCTGACCATAATACAGCTGTTGCAAGTATTGCTAAATACCCATTGGAGATATTTCTTGTATTTAATTATTTGTAAATAATTTTTTGAGACTGCAAATACCAGAGATTAGTACTTGCTA